GACATGTGTTTCCTCAGATACAGCCTGACATGTGTTCCCTCAGATACAGCCTGACATGTGTTCCCTGACAGATACTGCTGATCTGTGTTCTCTCAGCAGATAACACCTGATTGGTTAACTGTCTCTTGCACTTGTTGCTTTTGTTTTCATTTTGTCAAACTTAGAAATAGAATATAATTTGAGCCCTCATTTGTTTTCTCAGCTGAGGTGAAATTCTGACATGAGCACTGAAAATCCTGGTGTCATGACGCAGTTGACACAATTCTGGAGGAGGAGAGCCTCAGGAGGAATGACAACGCTCACTGACGGGGGGTCTGGGAGCAAACCTGTTCATGATTTTCTTACTCAGGTGAAGAAAGATGAAACATTGCAAAAAAAACAAGATTTTCATATTTCATTTGAAGAAGTATCTCCCTTTGGTTTGGATACTTTCAATTGTCTTTTATTATTTTATTAGAAATAGAGAGGACTGGGTGCTGAGGTTGTGTAATGCTGGAATTGTGTTTTTAGTTGGGAATGGTTTGCAGGGACGATTGCTGAGGAACAACAAAACGCTGTTCATGAAATTGTCATAGAATCGCTATAATGCAGAAATAGGCCATTCAGCCCATTGAGTCCACACCAACTTTCCAAAGAGCATCCCACCCAGACCTAGCCCCCACCCTATTCCTGTAACCCTACATTTCCCATGGCTAGCCTGCACATCCCTGGACACTGTGGGTAATTTAGCATGGCCAATCCACCTAACCTGTACATCTTTGGACTGTGGGAGGAAACCGGAGCACCCAGAGGAAACACACACAGACATGGGGAGAATGTGCAAACTCCACACAGACAGTTGCCCAAGGGTGGAATTGAACCTGGGTCCCTGGTGCTGTTAGGCAGCAGTGCTAACAGCTGAGCCACCATACTGCCCACCACACACTGCCCACCCCCACCCCAGTGTAGAAATGTAGAAAAGGTGTGTATCCATGTTTCCCCAGATCCTAATCTTAGCCATACCCCACCATAGGAAACGCTAACAGGTGATGGGATGGTGATGGCCTAGCAGTTTTATCACCACACCATTAATCCACAAACTCAACCAATGTTCTGGGACCTGGTGCTGAAACTCATCATGAGATAAAAATTTATCTGGAACAAAGAATCTACTGATGACTGTGAAATCATTGCTGATTGTCAGGAAAGCCACCTGTCTCACTAATGTCCATCCTTACCTGGTCTGGTCTCCATGTGACTCCAGACCCACAGCAATGTGGTTGACTCCCAACTGCCCCCTGAAATGACACAGCAAACCACTCAGTTGTATCAATTGCTATGAAGTCTCAACGAATAAATGAAAGTGATGGAACAGCTGGGATTGACATAGGCAGTGGAAAAGACAACAGCAGAAACAGCTCTGCAAAGTTCTCCTCATTAATATCCAAGGGCGAAAGCCAAAATCAAAGACATAGAATCATGCCTGACAGACAATGTCCAAGACACCACCTTCACCATCCCTGGATATGTCCTGTCCCACTGGCAGGGCAGACCCAGCAGAGTTGGCAGCGCAGTGTCAGTATACAATCAGGAGGCAGTTGATCTGGAAGTCTTCAAGATTGACACCAGACCCATGAAATCTCATGGCTTCAGGTTAAACACGGGCATGGAAACCTCCTGCTGATTACCACATACCGTCCTCCATCAGCTGATGTATCTGCTCCTCCATGTTGAACAGCACTTGCAGTGCAGGATGGCAAGCCAGGAGGAACATTAAGCATTCCTAAAAATAAAGTTTCATAGAAACATAGAAACCTCAAAAATAGCCACAGGACTAGACTATTTGGCCCTTCAAGCCTGCACCAACATTCAATATGATCATGGCTGATCATGCAATCTCAGCATCCCATTCCCACCCTCTCTCCATACCCGCTTTAGTCACAAAGCTCCCTCTTGAATATATCTAATGAACTGGCCCCAACAGCTTCCTGTGGGAGAGAATTCCACAGGTTCACCGCTCTCTGAGTGAAGAAATTCTTCCACATCTCAGTCCTGAATGGCTTACCTCTTATTCTTAGACTGTGACCTTTGTTCTGGAGTTTCCCAACATCGGGAACATTTTTCACACATCTAGCCTGTCCAGTCCTATCAGGGTTTTATATGTTTCTGAGATCCCCCCTCATTCTTCTAAATTCCAGTGAATACAAGTCCAGTCAATCCAGTCTTTCCTTATATGTAATGTCCTGCCATCCTGAGAATCAGTCTGGTGAACATTTGCTAGATTCCCTCAATAGCAAGAAGGTCCTTCCTCAGACTAGGAGACCAAAACTGCACACAATACTCAAGATGTGGCCTCACCAAGGCCCTGTATAACTGCAGCAAGACACTTTACTCCGATACTCAAACCCTCTCACTATGAAGGAGAGTATGCCATTAGCTTTCCTCACTGCCTGCTGCATCTGCATGCCAACGTTCAGCAACTGTTTCGCCATGACACCCAGGTCTTGTTGCACCTCACCTTTTCCTAAACAGTCACCATCCAGATGATAATCTGCCTTCCTGTTTTTACCACAAAAATGGATAACCTCACATTTATCCACATTAAATTTACCCGCTCAGCCAAATACTCAAGAATTTGCCCGCTCAGCCAGTCTGTCCAAGTCACCCTGCAGCCTCTTAGCATCCTCCTCACAGTGCACACTGCCACCCAGCTTAGTGTCATCTGCAAATTTGAAGATATGGCTTTCAATTCCTTTGTCCAAATCATTAATGTATATTGTGAACTTGCACGCCAAACAGCATAAGCAGCAAATAATAGACAGAGCTAAGTGACCACACAACCAATGGATCAGATCTAAGCTCTGCAATCCTACCACATTCAATTATAAATGATAGCAGACAATTAAACAACTCACTGGTGGAAAAGGCTCCACAAATATCCCTATCCTCATTGATGCAAGAGTCCAGCACATCAGTACAAATCTCACAGCAATCTTTAGCCAGAAGTGCCAAGTGGATGATCCATCTCAGCCTCCACAAGTGGATCCCCAGCATCACAGTTACCAGTTGTCAGCCAATTCAACTCACTCCGCATAAACACAGTGGCTACAACAGCAGGCCAGATGCTCAGAATACTGCAGCGAGTAACTCACCTCCTGACTCCCCCAAAGCCTGTCCACCATCTACAAGGCACAAGTCAGGAGTGTGATGGAATACTCCCCACTTGCCTGGATAAGTACAGCCTCAACAACACTCAAGGAGCTTGACACCATCCAGGACAAAGCAGCTCGCTTGATTGGCACCACATCCACAAACATCCACTCCCCCCACCACAGACGCTCAGTAGCAGCAATGTGTACTGTCTACAAGATGCACTGCAGAAATTCACCAAAGTCAGCATTTTCCAAACCCACAACCACTTCCATCTAGAAGGACAAGGGCAGCAGATACGTGGGAACACGACCACTGCAAGTCCCCCTCCAAGCCACTCAACACCCTGACTTGGAAATATATCATGGTTCCTTCACTGTCACTGGGTCAAAATCCTGGAATTCCCTCCCTAATAGCATTCTGGGTCAACCCACAGCAGGTGGACTGCAGCGGTTCAAGAAGGCAGCTCACCACCACCTTCTCAAGGGCAACTAGGGGTAGGCAATAAATGCTGGCCAGCCAACGATGCCCACATCCCACAAGTGAATAAAAAAACGCAGCTGTTCTACCATAAAGAGAGGAAAGACAATAAATGCATTGGTTACATCTGACATTCTTCTCAGCCACTGAGAGGGACTGTGAGCTTGTTAGATATGGAAGGCCTGGATAAAATGGTGAGAAAACACACATTTGTTCAAGAGCTATCTTAAAATTAATGAGCTATAAAAAGAGGTTAAGTGAGCAAAGTCTTTTTGTACAGATGAAGAGGGAAGATCCCTATGGAAGATAAGGTTAATCATGAATGGAAATATTCTACTTCTGAGAAGTGCTTTCCTTTATTGTATCTCACAATGTGGAAAAACACAATTTTCTGTCGCTTGCGTGAACCACCGTTAGGACATCTTCCTATGTTAAAGTCACTATATAAATGTAAGTGGATGTTGTTTTATTTGAATATTCTCTCTGCACTGATTTACATGCTATAATGAAATAAATTACCAGTAAGCTGCACCAAGAGTTTTATTTGATCATTGTGCTCTGAGCAATGAAGAAGCAGAGAAGTTTGTGTTAGTTGTTCTCAACAAGGGTGGCCTAACAGCAGTGATAATAGTTTTGGTGCCTTTGGGCTTTGGGAGAGGTAAAAATCAGAAAGACTCCATCCTAGATGAAAACCAGATCAAGTTTGGCACCCAACAATCAGACAGCTTGTTGATGCTTGCTGTCTCTGCTCATGGGCTAAAGAATAGACACCGTAGGAGAGACAGTGCAGGGCACCAGGGTTTAGCAGTAATCTAAATGAATCAGCACCTTCTGGGAGGTATTGGATAGCAGCCAGGACAGGAACTAGCACCTACAAGGGAGGAAGGGAAAAAATGATGAAATACCAATTGTCAAATCAATACCTGTGATCAAGCAGCCGTCTGCAATAGGAGGGCTCAAGGAGGAATGGGCCATGAGAAGTATTTCTTGGCAAAGTAATAAGTGCGAGTGGGAATAATGACAATAAAGATTATTTATATCTGCTTTCAAATGTCGACTTTCACGCATAGCTCCTCTTCAATACCAAAGATATGTGAAGAATTCCCTCTTTGTCAGACACTTTTGCAGAGTTTTAGAAATGACGATGTACTGTAGCAGAAAGCAGCGTTGTCATTGTTGCAGTGAGGAGCCTGTATTGAAAAGGGTTAATCCTATTCTCCACAGATAAGGACAAACGCTACCTTTTCTGCTTCCAGTGTGTGAAAGGATTTGAGAGCAGAGCTGGGGAGGGGGGTTGGGGAGGAGGAGCCAGGGGACTGAGCCACCTCCCTCTCTTTCAGCTCCCTATTGTTACCTCGGACTGAGTGAGGGAGAAGCTTCCAGCAAACAGTGGGTGTAACGCGAGAGCTGCTAATTGAGATTTCTAATGCTGCTGACCCCTCCAGGGCATAGGCTGTGGCAATAGTGTCTGAGCCAGTGTGCAGAGAGAGAGAGCAGAGGGAACAGGCTCTGACCGCTGTGGGGTCCTGCTGCTAGCTCCTGTCTGGCAATAACATTCCCAGTACCAGGAGAGCACGGCGTTGCGTTGAACAGATAGACTTACAAACTTTTCCCTCGGTGATCTGAGTGTGTAACCAGCCCGCTTCCCGCCTAAGACTTGTTTACTTTGGAGTTTTAACTCAGTGGCACGTTTGTTGCAGCCAGAGGATGAAAGCCGAAGGCTGTAGGGGAGATACCAGCAGGTAACATCGACGCGTGCCTGTGCCAAAGGTTCACAAAGTTGCAGCAAGATTCACCTTGTTACAGTTACATTTCCCAGGACAGCCAGAGGAGTGAACTTTCCTGGGAAGCAAGCAGCTGGCATTGGACAGAAGGAAACGTTCCTGGAAACAGGGATTGAGAGCGATTCCTTGAAGCTAAGCTTAAGACCTTAGTGGTGAATCTGTGCCCATCTTCCTGCCCTCTCCCTGTGTAACGGTGGCACCAGCTTCCCACTGCTGCAGACGACTCCTTTTGGATGTGTTTGACTCAGACTGGCTGGTGTACTTCGCTTGAAGGATCCCTCAAAACGACTTTCTTGTCAGTGTGTCCTGTGGGGAAGGATATCTGGGATTCCCTCAGTCCCTTTCCCGTCACACACACACACACACCTTGATGGACTGAGACGTTGCATGGACCAGTCTGAGGTATTGCTTCGGCAGTTATTAAACTTCCCTCGGATGTGCTAAAGTTTCTCAGAAAGGTAAGTCTCCAGCACTCAGCCAACAGGGTGACCTATATACGCGTGTGTTTGTAAATGTATATGAAACTGCGCAGACAGAAGCTCCTGATCATACCGTGATCAACACCAGAATGGAACAGATTGTGACCGGGCCAACTGTGCTGTGGGGATTTAATTCTCAAGGGTGGACTGACCATATGGAAAATCAAAAGCTTTTCAGAGTGAATGAGTCCAGAGCCTTCTATTTTCATCAGCCCACGTGTCCTTTTTTTTAAAAAAAGAAGCTCTCTCATTTCAAGGAAGTCAGTTTATCCCTAATGTTGTATTTTCTTTGTGTTGAACTATCTGTACGACTGGGCGAAATCTGTTAATATAATGTCACACTTATCTGTTTCTGAGCGCTGGGACAGTATGGAAATTGGCGGGGGGGGCGATCTCAGAAGTCAGCCAGCACCCTCCTCTATTTGTAGCAACATTGTTTTATTAATTACTTCTAATCACCTGAAGATTCAAGATCAAAATAAGAAGTGCTGAGGAACCTCGTTTTCCTTCATTCTGGTTAGTTAATGGTAGTGGAATGTAGTGAGATATGTAGAATCTTGAAGAGATACCACCACAAAAGATTCTAGTTGCTGTCACAGTTTTCAGTGCAATCGCTGTTAACTTTAATCCTGTGGAACATTTTGTAAATCCATGCATGGCGAATTAAGTACGATTACAATTTCCAAACAGAACAAAATTATTCAACCTACTCACATCAGAATTTACTTTCAAGAAATGTGCAATCAGCAGTGAGAATTTATTTGTAAATTTTTTTTACCAGATTTTTCTAATGGATTAACTCTACTACACAATGTTAATTGAAATGAACTTGCCATGGTTCAGTGTAAAATTAATTCCAATCCAGTCCTTTCACAGGAGTGTTCTGATGTGAAACCCAAATGCTAGGCAGGGTTGCTGCTGCATTGGGGCATGTATCAGAAAGATATCGTTCACAGTGCAAAGCTTTCCACGATGGGCACAGCTAGTGCTGTCTAACATTACTAAATAACTGTAATTTTAAAGAATTAATGCTTTGTGGAGACAGTTTCTTGTCTACAGATACTGCCTTTTTTTAAACTGCAAATCTCACTAACACACTTCTTGAATGCATCTGATTACAAAATTACAAAACACAAATTTGCACCTTTCCTCATCACTTGCACTAGTCTTTGTTTGCCATCATACACACAGCCTAACTATCTCCAGCTTGCATGTATGTTTATTGTTCTACCCATTCTCACAGGAGCTCAGAAGGACACAAGTCTCATTCCTTTACAGTCTTAAGATGACTGGCTCTTGTAGTGACGCCAAACCATTCTGTTTTTTGTCAGGATCTGAGCTCTCAGAATGTGTCCTACCCCCATGCCCAGGACCTACTGGTCTCGATTTCTAAAATTCATTGCTTTGGAGTGATAAAGAAATCCCATATAGTCAGAAAGACATCAATGAGATCTGGGCTTCTGGAACTCACTGCAGAGTTATTATAAACCAAAAGGGTCAACCTTGTTCTGACTACTTAAAGAAAACCAGCTTCCTTAGAGGAAATCGATAGTCCCCACCAGAACGGCCAGTGCTCAATGTATGAACAACACTTTTTTCCAATGTTTATTAATTACTGTTCAAAGATGACTCCAGTGAATAGGCAGGAATAGCAGTGTGCTCTTATCAATGTGTACATTAGTGATTGTAATGGGAGGCATTATTCCTGAAGTTAGTTTGCCCTGTTCCTAAATGAAATCACCGCAGTAAGCAGGCAGAGTTATAATGCGCTCATGGCTTTACAATAAAACCTCAAAGCTTATTAAGATATATTGAAATCCACAGTGACCTGTAAACAGAAATTTTACAAGACCGATTGTTCACATCTGAAATACTTCACAAAATTGGCCAATGTGTTGAGTGGACAGATATGGAGATTAGATGAGGTGAGTACTGTGGTAGATTGGTGAATTCCTTCAAATTGTGAGATTTATACAAACTGTTTATCAATGAATTACTACTCCTCACATCAAACCTAGCCCCGAATAATTATACTTAACAGCAAATGAAGAGGCTCCTTCAATTTCTCAGCTCATTAAGGTAATGTGTAAATGGGACATTAGGGCCCGGAATGTCATAGATTTGATTCTTCATTTCTCATAGACGAGTAGATAACATTTAGCTTTAGCATCCCTGGGGTTAAGGGTAGGAGGGTAACTAAAGGGTAACTGGCACGTATAAATCTAGGCTTGAGAATGAATTCGGAAAAAGAAAATAAATTTGCAAAAAAAAAGCTGTATTTGTTTATAGGCTAGCTCATAGCGTCGTCAGTCATAGAGTCATACAGCATGGAAACAGACCCTTCGGTCCAACCAGTCCATGCCAAAAATAATCCCAAACTAAACTAGTCCCACCTGCCTGCTCCTGGCCCATATTCCCCCAAACCTTGCATCATGTTGGAATATAATGGAACTATTATCCTGAACATGGTAACATATCAGTGGCTGTTTTGTTATCAAATGCATTGCAAATATCTTGGAATTATCAAAATTTAAATCTGATTCCACAGAGCAAAATGCTACAGTGAGTTGATGTTTGAAAGTATTGGAAGGTTGTGTTTAATCTCCGTCTTTGACCTACATTGATTTATTCAAAAGCAGGCGGTCATACTGTTTTAGTTTGAATTGCTTGACTATTTGCATATAATGGAGCAATGTAATTTGTATGACAACAGGGAGATACCTAGTTCTAAAAATAATGAATAAGTACTTGTAACACAACAGGTATTTCATCTCGGGTTATTTTCTAAATGAACAATGTGATTGCAGGTTTTAATCCCGAAACAATTTCACACCCATGCTGGAGCAGCATTTGACCAATTGACTGGACAGTATACCTGAAGTTGATGGTTTACGTATGGGTGCATGTGGGGCTAAAACAGAAGTGATACAAATAAGAGAGGTATTTTGTTCATTCTAATTTATTCACACACGAGAAATCCCCTCATTGCAGCATCCAGTTTTTTTCCCAAATTGACTCCAGGTTTTGCCTCCATTCTCTTTTTAGATGTTTAGACCATGTTAATCATTTATTCTGTGAGAAGGATTTCTCGGAATCAGCCTAGAGCTTTCACTAATCTGAAGCTGAATCCCAATTTGGGTTATTTTAACTAGGATCACTTTGTTTGGAGCAGGCATATTATTCCTCCCTCCTCCATGAATACTTGTAGGAAATGTTAATTCCGACTATTTACCAGTATGTGCACATTCTCATGGTATAAATTGCGTTGTTAATCTAGGTTTAGACCAATGTCTTCATCATGTATGAGACTGAATTCTGTCTATTTTGCTCCTTTTGCACGGGCACTTTTTCAGCTCCCTTACGTGTTGCTGTCTTCAGGAGTTCTTCAGTGGCCCACAGCCAATTAAACAGCAATGCCATCCTTAAGGAGAGACAGTGGCATTGGGCTAATGTCACTGGACTTGTAATCCTGGTACAGAAGCAAATGCTGTAGGAACAATAACTCAAAGCTCAACGCGGCAGCTGGTGAAATTAAAATTCAATCCATTAAGAAATCTGGAAGTGTAATATATTCTCAGCTATCATTGTTTGTTGTAAAATTCCACTTGGTTCCATAAAGCCCTTTGGAGAAGAAAATTGACCATCCTTGGCCAGGTTTGGCCAAATGAGACTCTAGATCCAAAGAAATATGGATGACTCTTAAAAGGTCTCAACAGCTCACCCTGCAATGCCAGTAAGCCTTGAATGAATACAAAATCTTACGGGACAAGTACACAGCTTGCACAGTGGCAGGAATCCGACTGGGACTTAATTGTGCGAGGGTAGAGGGACGCTGGCATCTGCTCTCCATGCCACTGTCATAGTAACACAAGGCAGGAACAGGCCAATACTACCACGGCCAAGAGCACTCCAGTTGAGGGGTTTTCCTCCCAACTGGTTACTGTGAAACCTAGAGGTTTAGTCAGCACCTCAATTTTGACTTGCCCTCACACACAATCTCTCTGTCTCAGCAGCACCCACCCCTCTTATTGTTTCTGCTGACCTTCCCACTGGAGCCCATGCATCCATGACCTGTCCACCTTCCTTAATTGGACAGGGACATGGAGGCAGCCTGTAAATTAGCCACCTCCTGTATTTTTGTGACTTGGGCCGTACCTCTGACCTGTGTGGGATTGTGAATACCCATGTGTTCGCGATGCCTGAAAACTTTAGAGAAGATCAGATTCTGCCCAGAGTGCCAGTCTGCTTCTATCTGGCTAAGTCAATAGTCTGCTAACATTGCTAACATAACTGCCTTTCTCACTGTGCAGGAGACTGCAGTCTACCGTGTTCAATCTGTCTGTCTGTCTGAGTTTGCCTGCGTGCCAACCTGATATTTTACCTGCTATCTGTGCAAGCCTAGGTTGGGCTATGCTGTTCACTCCATGCACACATTTGAGCTGGACCACTTTCTGGTTCTACCAGTTGGGGCCTATGATATTTAAACGGGATGGGAAGGGGAACATTGTACAAGGGAAGTTACATATCCCCACGATGTTTGTACGAGGTACAAACTCTTCAAGATCAAGGTGTCCTGATTCAAATGATTGATGACTGAATTTCCTACGTGGAGCATCTCTTTCACATTTTCTTTTACGTACTTCCTAATGATTTTCTCCTGACCTGGATTGAAGCTGTTACCTTCTAGCACAAGTATTTCTAGTAACTCATTTTAATTTCAAAAATATTCATTAAAAAATCTTTATGTACATAGTCACTAAAGCAGTTTGGTTTTGTACAGTCTTTGCATATGAAGAAACTGACAAGCATTGGAGTTTGACTTTCCCGACAGTTCCATAAAACCCAAAGGGATTTCTTACTTATGCAAGACACTATTTACTTATATTTGAGATACCTGACAGGCCCTCATTGTACTTTGGCCAAAGGACCTTAGATGGTGGTCTTTTCCCAAAGTGCCTTCACAGCACCTGTCGTAGTAACTTATTCAGGTGATTATTAATCATTTCTCGCCTCAATGTTAGCAACAGCAATCAATGCAACTGTGAAAGCCTTTGTGGTCCACACACCCAAGACTTCACCTGACATTAGTCCAAATATTGGTCCAAGCCTTCCCTGTTTCATTCAGCCATTTGGGATGAAATCATCACAGCCACTGAATGTGGGAATTGATGATAAAATTGTGAAATCATGTGAGATCGGCAGTCCGGACGTTATCAATGTGGAGAACAAAATGTGCCATTCTCCAACTAAGCCTTGTCCAGTGACACAAAGTTCTCACTAGTGAGTGGTGAGAGGCTTATTTGCTGCATTAGCATGTCACTATCAGTTAATCTGACTTCATTTCTATGCAGAGATAGTAGGAACTGCAGATGCTGGAGAATCTGAGATAACCAGGTGTAGAGCTGGATGAACACAGCAGGCCAAGCAGCATCAGAGGAGCAGGAAGGCTGACGTTTCGGGTCTAGACCCTTCTC